CTGACCAGCTGGGTATTGCAGCTGTCAACATGATGGCGGTGGAACACAATGTGTCATAAGCTCCAGGGCACGTTCAGCCAATCTCTCAGCCTGCCCCACTCACGTTTACACTCAATTAAGACATATATATTTCTAGTCTTGCTCAGAGGCTACTGTTTAAAATAATGGAAGGGTTATTTAGAGTATGGGCAGAATAATACTTAAGAATTGTAGTGAGCAGAAAGACAAAAGGCGTCATGTTGGCGTGACCATACTTGCAAATTATGTATTGTTATTATTTAGAAAACAGGTGAAAGTGTGACAGATCATCCACCACTGCATGCTGATAAGGTACTAAGGACAAAGATAGGGTTTAAAGGAGCTGAATACCCACAGTCTGAATAGAGGACTGGTGCCAATTTCATCTCTGTGCATGCAGTGCACAGATCAGAACAAGTGTAAATGTAATGTAACTAAAAAAGTAGAAGATAGGAAAAACAAGAAGCCTTCGACACAACTGGAAAATACAACAAAAATGGTTCAACAACTGCAAGAGTTACCTGAATTTTGTTCAGCTTATAACTGTGCCAAACTGATAACTAAGTTATAGGGATTTCTGATGCGCTGCATTGAGCCTTTGTGCCCCGCTGTTATTGGTCGAGGACACCGATGCACAACTTGACTTCACATTTGACCACGTCACATTTAATTTGGCTCAGCCTCAAGCACATAACGCACCACACACTGTGGTAAGTTGAGCCAAAAGATCGTTAGATACAAATAGAGGTGACAAGAGATTGACTTGCAGGTCGCAAATTTGCACAAACATAAAGTACAAGTGGTGTTGCAATTCTTTTTTAGCTTTGTGAGGTGAGTTTGAAGTCATCAGTAGATCTGTGCCCGACAAATGTCCTGGCATTTCTGGCTGCCTGTGGATTTACAGTAAAGTCTGACTCCACAGTGACTCTATTGCCTCACTACTGGTTACACAAATGTGTGATCAGTGACTTTAACTACCCTTAATTACATATATGGAAAAACGAAAATGAAAAATAAATTCCCTCCACCACCTTGGACAACAATATGATCTCTATGATGAACTCTAAATTCATTTATTGTAGGCTGACCTGAATGAGATGTCTAATGACTGACATTTAGGACACTGACACAAAAATGTTTGAATGTACTTACTGTATGAAAAATATAACTCAACAGTTAACTGTACAAATGAAATACGAAATTACCAAATACATTTTTTAGGGTCTGGTCAACATTTTTCTGTGGAGTGTACAGGATTTGACTACTTTATAAACTGTTGAATTAACAAAAAAAAAAAGACGAGAACAGTTCATGAGACATAATGTGAAATGGGACACCCTCATAAGCTACAACATATCTAAAGTTTGAGACTAAGTGCCCAGACACAAAGCAGATAATATTTTGAATATGTTCAACATGTCTAGATTTAATAAAAAGAAAGTGCATGTATTATACAGTTACCTTTACAACCTACAAAACTCCTAAGACTAACCAACAACCTAAAAACTAAATTACCCTAACGCTGTTGTCGTCGCCGTCTGAACATTAGTTACGTAGGTCAGATACAATAAATGGAGACATATGGCAAGTGGAAACAACAGTACAATAAAAACTGATTCGAGATTAACAAGTTTAGAAGTTTCCAGTAAAAGTAAACATCATGCATTTAAAATTTACTTTAATTTTTAAGTAAAAGTGCAAAACTGTTAGTATCAAAATATTAATAAATATGGGTAACAAAGGTAAATGTACTCATTATGCAGAGTGGCCTATTTCACAATAGTGTGTATTGTATAAATGTATCATAGGTATTGATGCATTTATATGTAAGCATCACTTAGCTGTTGCAGCTGGTAAAGGTAGAGCTAGATTTATTTACTGCCAGGTTGCTTAATTTATCATAGTGCATCATAATTTATTTGTTAGGTATAACTTCTGTTAGTAGTCTGCATCTGCAAAGTAACTAACTAAAGATGTCAAACAGATAGATTGGAGGATAGACCCTCATAAAATAAAAATAATCCAGTGAAATACAAGTACACATGGATGGATTACTGAACGGGCCTACCGAGCACAGGCCCAGGAGCCCAGAGTTTTAGGGGCCTCACTGGCCTCACCTGCAAAATGTCACTCAAATTAACACATACTGAGCAGGCACTCAAAGAAACTGCAAAGAGACACAAATTAATTACTTAAAACAGGCAAAAAACAACAACAAAGAAACCCAAATCATGTTAAAATCATTTGATGTTGATGTGTTCAAAGAAGTGTGTTAAAACTGTATGCCCTGTTTTCATTTTCTTTTTCTTTTTTTGCCTTTTTTCTGTTTTTTTTTTTGTTTGTTTGTTTGTTGTTTGTGCTTTGTTGTATTATAGGTGGCCTTGTGTAACATCTTTGCCAAGGGACTACGGGTGAAAAATAGCCTTTTGGCTAATTTGGCCTTTTTATACATATATATGTGTATTTATTAATTTGCACTGTCCCTTCTTAAATAAACTAAACTAAACTAAAACTAAACTAAATTACAAAAAGACAAAAAAAAACCCCAAAGAACACGACACAGAAAATAACCACATAGAGACATAAAATCACATGAAGGTGCATAACGACCACAAAGAGACACAAACCCACCACAAATTTTATGTCTTACCTCTTTGAGCAGAGGTGGTGGGGCCCTTTGCATATCTGTGCCCATGGACCTATTGTCTGATGATCTGCCCGTGCAGGTGCCTCAAAATTATACTTGAGAACAGTGCATGAGTCGGCCCTAAATCAGGGGTGTCAAACATACGGCCCAGGGGCCAGAACTGGCCCACCAAGGGGTCCAATCCGGCCCACTAGATGACTTTGTACACCTATTAATGATGCGAGGTGCCAGGTTTAAACAGTGAGTAGATACTTAATGTAAAATGCTGCCTTAGTCTTTTCCATGCCGACCACAATATAGCTCTCTGAAATAACAATGAGTACTTAGGGCTCGTCCCAATACCTCCCCTTAGCCCTACCCCTTAGCCCTACCCCTACATTTGCGCGTTCCTGCGAGGGGTAGTGTCCCAATTCCTTTTTGCGTGTAGGGGTAGGGGGCATAACGAGGGGTAGTGGGCATGAAACTAGCCCTTCGGAGCGAGGGATTTCAGATGCTGACTTGCCAGTGAGGGGTAGACGTCGCCATGGCTACCACCGAGCAAGAGACAGGGGAAAAAGTTCATACATTGCTAATGTTATCGTCGTCAGGTTGCTTGTTAGCTAGCTAGCTAGCTCTTACTATCTAGCATCTGTCATCTGTCCTGTTCTGCAAAATTGTTGGATTTTTCACATTACGATAACCAGCTAGTATAACTATGCTGCCTCGTAATGTTAGCTGGTTAGCTAGCTAGCAGAAGTCCCCTGTCGTCTATCGTTCATCAAACGAAGCATGATGAATGCGGCAAAAGCGATCGGTAGGATGAATGAGACTACATTGTAGATGCCGGTTGGAAATGTAGATGGATCGCAGCTTCCTGTTTAAAATAGTTACATATGAGTGAAAGTAACAGACAAAGTGACGTAGTGAGTGGTGTCCAAATTACTAGGGAAAGAATTCAACCCCTACCCCTCGATGCTTCATTTCGAGGGCCAAGGGGTAGTGGACAAGGGGGTACTGGGATTGGGCCTTACTGTGGTCATTTTCAAAGCTATCAAACATTGTGCAAAATGTAGTCAATCAGCAGCTCCAGCACAAAAGAATCTGAGTCAGATTTCTGTATTAAAACAATATTAGTGGAACCCTGCTGCTGAGGCGCTGACAAAACTTCAGATTGTAAATGATTTATAAGGCAGGGGATGACTCAACCCTTTAAAATCTGAGCAAACTGGATTGATTTCTTTAAAAACACAGAAAGAAGGCAATGAGCAATGAAAGTAATAGTTAAAAAAAAAAAGAAAAGAAACAAGCAAGGAAATGACCTAGAAAGAAATGTGTAAAAGTTATAGTAATTCTGCACCATAATTTTAAATATGTCATTAAAAAAATCATAAATATAGTTTTTCCTTAGCTTTTTTCAATTATTTTTCCCTGGTTTTTATTTTCTGAATAATTTTCTAAATATATTATTTTCTTTTCGCAATTTGTGGGACATTTTTTTCCAGGTTGCTCAGTTGCCTTTTTTCCCCCATGTTTCTGACAGAAACTGCAAGATTCAAAGGTTTAAATACTTGCGAAAGTGCATTTGAAAGCAGCACAAGAAAAGTGATGTTGCTCCAGGTTTCAAAGGGTTAACCTGCCTCTTCCATAGCTTCCACTTTAGTGGGAAATTATAGAAAAATGCACATGTAATGAAAGTGAGTAGTAGACTGATGTACTGTTGAATTTGCACATATATTTCTGAGGATATCATGGGCATGTGTTTTGAAAACTGAAAACTTCTTGGCACTAAAAAAAGGAAACATTTAAAGGTGTTATTTATAGGTCATTATATAATGGTTACTGGTCTGGCCCACTGGAGATCAAACTGGGCAGTATGTAGCCCCTGAACTAAAATGAGTTGACACCCCTGCCCTAAATGTACTTAGTTACTTGAAGCAACTGCAGCACAGTGTCATATTTTATTAATTCATCATGTGTTTTGTTTGTAGAAACTTGATTTGTAAAGCAGCCAGGTGTCAGATAAATGTAGAGGATAAAAAGTAACATAAAACACAGTGCTTGAGTGAATGCACAGGTTACTGGGAGCTTCCACTCTGCAGGTGTAAACCATTTTGTTTGTGATATCAGGTGCAGGGGTTGTTTACGACTTGGTTGAGTGTGTGACCAGCAGTGTGCAGCCCAGCAGAGGCCAGGCCAGGCCGCTCTCCCTCGCGACCTCACCAGCTGCGTGTCTCCTATCTCCTACCCCCTGTCTCCTATCTCCTATCTCCACAGCAAATGACAAGTCTATTTTGGAAAAGGAGGCTGCGCCAAAACAGGCACGTCAGCTATTTGACATCATGAGGTACCGGAGAAGAAAGAAAAAATAAGTCTAGTCAACCGCCCACCGCAGGAGACTGGGGGGGATGTTCCACCACCATCCTGGATTTACAACCATTTCAAGGATATTTGAGCACAAAGACGACATTTTGGAAACTGTGATATTGGAGTAAGCCGACATCTTGGAAACCTTCACCGCCAACTGACGTTTGAGGCCACATGATTGAGCGGCCGTTTTACCTGTGTGGCTGAAGACTCAAGGTGACAAAGTAATGTTAGGCTTTTCAAAAATGATGATAGTTACACCAAATGTTAAATTAGGAATTTTGCCAAGAATTTAACCGAAGTTTTGTCAGTTTTTCCAATTAATTTGAACTTTAATTCGTGTGGGAAATACTATATTTGAACACCTGTAACGGTTAACGGTTACTATTGCTGCTTTAAGTTAGCTAACCTAGCTACAACCAGTGTCAGTTGGGCTAACGTTGTGTGCTTTAACTATAACTACACTCGTGTTTGCTCCAGTTTTAGTAGTTTTACAATTTATAATAATTTAATTACAACATATTTTTTAATACATTTTAGTCAGGGTGTAGACAGTGTGAGAAATGAGGTATGTTTCTGAAGTGGGAGCTTTATCAAACAGCTGATATCCCTTTCGCTTCTACAAATGGCAATGGACAGAGACGGGGTCTGACAGCTGAGGTTATTTTTGGGACAGGCAGTTCAAGCGACAGAGGTGACAAAGCTAGCAAATGTCACTCTTTGAGAGGAACATATCTGCTCCATTTGACCTTGTTACAGGGGAATTTGTCTGATGTTGTGTTGTAAAACCGCCTTCCTGTTGAATGGGCTACATGGCAGGATGTAAAGTCTTTGTATTGATGAATGTCTGCAGGGCCAGCACTGGGTTATGTTGACTGACACTGTAACTGCCAGCCATAAATATGCCTTTCTGGACTGTGGATTTATGTCTATTTTCATAGCATAACATATTTATAGAGTACACCCAACACACTGTCATATCTTATAATGGTTTGGGTGCATTTGGCAGGGTTTCTTTGTAATTTAAAGCCACAGTTCACCCCTGAATCCAATTTACATAGTTTTCCTTTTACCTTTAGTGCTATTCATCAATCTGGATTGTTTTGGTGTGAGCTGGAGCTGTTGGAGATATTGGCCATAGACACATCTGCCTTCTCGGCTTATGGTGCTCAGAGCGCCACAAAAATACAATAGCAAAGTAGCATTACAGCTCAGCAGAGGACGACACCATTAATGTTTACATTTCACGCTACCATGACTGTGAGATACTTGACCAAGAGCAGCCCAGTCACCAGAGGAAAACGTTGGCTTTGTACGTTTATGCATACAAGAGGTGCGAAACATTTTTACGTTTTTATACATATCATACCCACGTTTCTAAAGTGACATTAGTATGGATGGCATGTCACCTTGGCAAGACACCTGCCAAGCTGCAGACCACTGTGCGAGACCTACACACAACAAAATTGGTTGTTTCTTCAAGTAATCACTGCATTTTTAGTGACTTTTTCGGCACCAATCGTGGGTTTGTTTTAGCAATCCAGCACTGTGTTTCCACTGAGGATAGTGCCACAAAAAGTGGTTATTTTTTATCGAGCAGTTGCTGTGCAGGTTGTTGTTTTTACTTAGATTCAGGATGGTGCAACCAAAAGTGGGTATTTTTAGCCAAGACATACTGTGCGTTCCATTACCCACACTACCATACTATATAGTATGCAAGAAAAAGGATTTAGTATGTCGCAATACATAGTATGTGAATGCAGTATGCCAGAAATACCAGGGTGTTCTACCACATCTGGTCTGATTTTGCACTATGCAGGCCAGCATGCTTTTCTGGCTATTCTGACCCATGATTTCCTGCACAGAGGAAGATGCGTCACACAGCCTGAGCTGCAAACAGATCAAAGCTTGACAGCTCATTGACAGCTCACAGAAGTCGCAATGACGAATGACAGCTGTCAGTGAGCATTCAAATAACTCATGACCGGTCGAATAGTAATAATATGAATAGTGATTGTTTCAGTGAAAAAAAAAATCATTTTAAATATTACAAACAACAATAGGACATAGCTGTAAAAATAACAATGACTGAGAACTGCAGATTTAATTTCACTGTGGCAAAAATAATGTTAGATTCTACAATCTGTGCAGTTATAACTTTAAAGTTAAACTACAAACATTTCAAAGTAACACAAGGAGAGTTCTCTGGGTTGATCTTCATCTCTGGCGAATTCAGTAAGTGGCGTTTGTTTTATCGCTGAGGTAATGGATACTAATGTTAGGAAGTATTTTGTCCCGATTGTGTGCATACTGCATGTAACAGTACATACTTTTTAAAGGCAGCTGAAGTACATACTAAAAGTAAAAAGAAAAAATAAGCGATTCAGAACGCACCCACGATCTTTTCCTAATGATAACCAAGTGGATTTTCTGCCTAAACCTAACCACACGTTAACTACAGAGTTGCTGAAATGTCAAGAAGCGTAAAGTTTCAACGGATCTGCCAACATTTATTGTAGGTTGCCATGAGTAGATGCATGCTTCCTTCTGTGCAGTGATGCCGTCGTCAAGTGTAGATCAGTAGAGAGAAAATAGTACCTGCATGAAACTGCTCAGAACAAGATTTGTGGATTATTTTGAGTGACCGGGTCATGATTTCTGGAAAGAGACATTGCTGTTGAGTAAAAGGTATTTGGCGCTTTGAGCACCACAAGCTGAGTGCCATCTACTTCCCTTATATTCGAGAGAAGGCAGACATCTCTACGGCTGATGATCTCCAACAATTGGCAACTCACACCAAAACAATTTAGACTAATAAATAGCACCACAGGTAAAAGGAGAAATATGTGTTTTTGATTTTGGGGTGAACTGTCCCTTTAATGGAAATCTGTTGCCTTATTTGTTAAGCAGAAATAGCATTTGTTTTTCCTAAACCTTATTTAAATTATAAAACAGCAAGTTACTGAAAAATGACTTTGGTGTTTGGCAGTTAATGGCAAATTGTATTAAACTAATGCCAGCTATGAAAATCATTTGAAGGACTTAAATGAATCTGACACGTCCCATTTAATGCTGAATATTATTTTGTGTAAGCTGCTGCCTGGTACTGTGTTATAATATTCAGCTTTTCTTTGATTACAGGAGCAAACAATGGATCAAAACTTGTTTGGAGGAGTGCCCAGGTTTCTCACCCGCCCAAAGGCGTTCTCAGTGTGTGCAGGCAAGGATGCCACACTGAGCTGCACTATCGTGGGCAGCCCGACTCCACTGATCACCTGGGAAAAGGACAAGCTCAAACTGACATCTGGGGGCCGCTTCAAGACCGTGGAGGATGGAGATGTGTACCGCCTGACCATCTATGATTTAACACTGGAGGACAGTGGCCAATACATGTGCCGAGCCAAAAACAACGTCGGGGAAGCTTATGCTGCCGTCACCCTCAAAGTGGCCCTGCCAGCAGAAATGGCTCAGAGGGCCCCTGTATTCACGGTTAAACCTACCTCTACACGTGTAGGTTTGGGAGGAGATGTTGTTTTCCACTGCCGAGTTGCAGCTTACCCTGACGCCAACTTTGATTGGGAAAAAGACGGGCGCTACTTGGGGGAGTCGAACCGTATCAAGATAGTTTCTGACAGTGACAGCAGCACCTTAAAGATCCAAAGTGTGCGTAACCTGGACAGCGGCACCTACACCTGCAGGGCCCAGAACACTGTTGGCCGTTCACAGGCTGCAGCAGCTCTTGTTGTAGATGCCCAGGATTCCCACCACCTGTCTGGAGACAAAAACACTTCCCTGCTTTCTCACCTACAAAAGCGCAAGGAGGAAATGAAGAAGGACATCTCGATATATCGCACTGAAGAAAGCAGATCCTCTGTTACCTCCTCCACCACAGCTAACATCACAGATGGTTTGAGTCTGGAATATGAGCTGAGGGCATCTGCTCTTGCAAAGCTGCCCAAAGGTGTGTTCACCCGTACCTGCACAGTGACTGAAGGCAAACATGCCAAACTCAGCTGCTTTGTAACGGGTCACCCTAAACCGCACATTATCTGGAGGAAGGATGGAACAAACATCAGCGAAGGCCGCAGGCACGTCATTTATGAGGACCAAGCTGAGAACTTCATCCTCAAGATCCTGTACTGCAAGCAGACCGATAATGGTCTCTACACCTGCAATGCAACCAATTTGGCTGGGCAGACCTACAGTGCTGTGTTGGTAACAGTCAAAGGTAAGATGTAAAGTCCTAAGCATACAATACAGTGATAACTCTAATGTACACATTTAAGAGAATCCTCTACAAGTAAGCTATCATTAGAGACATGTTAATGAATTATATGCATCATCTGTCTACACGCATGACATCATCTCTACTCCACTTTACATGCAGCATTTACAGCATACACCAAGCAAGGGATAAAAAACAAGGCTTCTTAACAGTTTATTAATTTGTATCTTAAAGGAGCAGTGTGTAAGATTTAGGCAGATTTAGTGGCATCTAGTGGTGAAGATTGCAGATTGCAACGAGCTGAAATTTTTCTTGACTAGAATTCCTCATGTGTTCATTGTTCAGGAGTTGTTTTACTGGAGATGAATTATCCACTGAGGTCTTGACCTGGTGATTTAAACCAGTAAACACTGAATACAGCAGTCCTACATTACAAATCAGTGTTTTCCTGGTGCTGTTAGACATGTCACAGACAGGCCACTAGCCTAGCACCTGCTTATCTGTGCTCACCTTTTTACTCTGATGTCTTGAGATCCAGACGTTAAGAATGGTTTTACTGGGGGCCGAATTATCCACAGAAGTCTCCTCCTCTCCAAAACAAACGGACCCAGTGATTCAAACCAGTGGAAACACTGAATAAAGCAGTTTTATGTTAAAATAAAATTGTGTTGTCCCTAAGGGGCTGATAATTACGGTGACTGATGTGAAAATGCAAATGGTCTTATCTGGAACCAGTGTTTGGGCTTCTGTAGAAACATGGCAATGCAACATAGCATTCCCTGTGGATTAGGACGTCTTCCTATGTAGATATATAACGGCTTATTCTAAGGTAATGAAAACACAGTGATTCTTATTTGCAGGTGGTTATACACTAAAGAAACAAACACTTATTTTATTATATTTCATTTCTGCCAATATATCCCCCTAAATCCTACACACTGGAACTTTAATACAACCTCTGTACCAATGCTTACTGCGCCAAGCCCCAGTTGGTTCAAACTGAAGACATACAGTACATCTTACAAAGTGGCTTACAAATATACAGTAAACTATCCAGGCTAGGTAATTTTCTAAAACAGTTGGGCACTGTACATTACTCAAACAGGAGTGAATAGTCACTTGTTGGGGAGTATTTTGAGCTTCAAATTGATGTGCATTTGATGCTCTAGTGAGTATTTTTAATAGCAGGATGGTGTATATGGAATTAACTTAAAATAAACTGCACTGCCTATGTCCATCGCAATGAAGGAGCATGTCACCCAGTACAGCAGTGTGGCTCATTCATGTTTTTAATAGCAATGAAAATGGAGGTGTATGGCGCTGAGGAATAAGCTATATGTTAGTAGGATAAACTCACTGTTCACAACTACAGCACTGTAAGTGTTGTCCAAATCAGTCTATCAAAGCCTCATTTAAACCTCTCAGAATAAGTGTGGCTTTTCACAACAAGGTTGAAATCTGGCTCATATTCTGAAGGAAGGGTGTTGTGTTGCATCTATTTTCTGCTGGTGATGAGTAGTTCACAGATGCTAAGATGGTCACTCACTCACTGGGGCACAGTGGCACCACTGCTACTGAGACTTCCCTTGGGGGGAAATTGGCCCAAGGGCTGAAACTGAAGGGTTGTAGATGTATGTCAGTATGTCCGATAATGAGGGCTGTGCCACCGACATACCCGTTTATTGCTGGTGCAGGAAAATGGATACACCTGATGTTGTCTTTGCAGGTTGTTAGCAAATTTTGCAAATGGAAAGATACAAATTTTGAACAATTAGTGGTTGCATGAACATTTATCAGTTTTTTAATAATACGCAAAATATGACATGGAATAAGAGGAAAAATATAATGTATAGAAAATGTTAACAAATAATACAGCACACAATTGCAATGACTTCTCTGTCACTTTTTATATCAGTACAAAAAACAATGGACAAAGGATGTTCTCGTGCCAGAGAATGCTCCAATTAAAGCAACAACAGAATACAGTAACAACCAGAACAACCAGTGGGTTCCCAGGGTCAGGGTCACACGCTGGGCCCAGTTTTAAAACAACAGAGTATTAAATGTCAGTCAAAAAATTCAGAATATACAAGATATAAAGCAAACCAGTGCTCAATAGAGTAACATAAGTGTAAGATAAGTGCAAGAGTTAATAAAAATGAAAATGAAAAATGCAGGCTACTCCTGATATCGTACTTTGTTTAACCCTTAATTAAAAAACTTAAATAACTATACATCGCTTAGAAATGGGAAGTTAATCACATTCCTGGGAAGAACCTATCAGATACGTTTGGAATACTAAGGAGCAAATGTTTTGTATGTTCAAAGCTTGTAACTATGCTTGGGCAGTATCTATATTTTCATACCGTCAGACATTCCAGAAATTTTACAGGGGTATATGGTTTAGTGTGCAGCACTACCCCCCTCACTTTGTTCTGCAAGCTCTCGTTGCTTTTTAAGTCTAATAAATGAAAAGAAAAAACCTCACTAAATGTCTAGAAAGATCGTATTCTTGCACCTGTTTTCTTTATGAAACAGAGAAGTACAACTGCACACCTTCTTGATTCAGGTTTTTGTCTTTCACCTAACTATGATTAGATTAACTGTCTTAGTTCGATGTGTCCTTTCGAAGGTTTACTACAGGAAATATTGCAGATATTTTAATAGTAAATTTCATTTATTTTATGTTTATAGATGCTTTGATTGATTTACTGACCCCAGTGGACTTCACCCATAACTCACAGTGGAGTTCCGACTGTTTCAACACTTGATTCCTAACTTTAAAGTGTTGACTTAGGTCCAAAGTATGGATATGGATATGCTTGTAACACTCATTTGTGGTGCAGAGCGCGGTAAGAAAACAAGAGAAGTAGGGGAAACTGACAGGATGTCCTCTGCAACCTGCACTGAAATAGTGGGTGTAGTAAGCACGTTGAAACCTTTAGTTCACATTAATGAAGTCAGGTAAATATAAACCATTTTCATTGACACTTTTTAATAATTATTTTTAAAGGTATTCAGCACAAATCATTTTTCCTAGAGCATGAGGAAAGTATTGTGACTGAACTGTTACCTTCCAGTTCACCATTGTTTAAGTGTCAAACCTCGGCTTAAACAACCAAGTTTTTACAGTTGACTGGCAGAAAGCTTTTATTTCACCTGCTACATTGTCAGATATGTTTGCCCACATTTCCCTCAGCAAGGACTCCTGATTATTGGAAACATTTGAAAAGCCCAGTTTCAAATCTTGAGTGCTTGAAAAGAATACACCGATGAAATGTTTAATGGGATCGATTATCTCTCAAGCAGGTTTCTAGTTTCTACAACTTGATTTTAATATTAGATTAGCCTGAAGTAGAGATAACAAGGAAATTGACAAAGTTTGTAAGTAAAAAAAAAAAAATTGTTTTTTCATATACATGCTGCATTTTGTAGACGATAGACTGACATATGTAAAACTGTCAACATGGCTGCGTAACCTGAAGATTCTGTTTTGTGTTTCATGATGTCAGAGCCTGCAGTGCCATTCAGGAGGAAGCTGAAGGATGTGGAGGTCCAAGAGAAAATGTCAGCCACAATGATGTGTGAGGTGCCCGTTACTTCCACCCAAGCCAGCTGGTTCATGGAGGAGACGCGGCTGCAGCAAAGCAGCAAATATAACATGGAGGAGGAAGGGACCCTGCGTCGTCTCACCATACACAATGTCACCACCAATGATGATGGTGTTTATATTTGTGAGATGAAAGAGGGCAGTCGCACTGTGGCTGAGCTCACTGTCCTGGGTATGGTTGAGTATTTCATTTTTGTGATGTGAAATATTGTGGGCAGGCACTGCTATACTTTTATCAAGGGGAATTAATGTGGCCTTCTTTCAGTGCTGCTAAAAGTTTGGAAATTAACAACAGTGTCAGTGCTATTTCTTTATGTTACATCTACTTCCTCTCATACCCCCAGGCAACATTACCAAGAAGCTTCCCCGCAGGACAGTGGTTCCTGTCAGTGACACTGTTATCTTCTGTGTGGAGCTGGAGCATCCCATCCCAGATGTCTACTGGACCCGCAATGGCGAGAAACTGAAGGAGGATTCCCGTATTTCCATTGCCTGCGTGCTCAGGCAGTACACACTCACAATTAGAGACTGCCAGGCAGATGACTCAGGAGAGGTGGCCTTTGTAGCTGGAGACTGCAAGACATCCACTCGATTCACTGTCACTGGTGAGGAATACACCTGGCTGTAATTCAGATTTCTTGCATTTGCTCTGACCTGCTTGTTTAGAGGGGGGTAATTCACATTTAAATAACAAAAACATCTACTAATCTAAACAGGCTTCATGTAGGACTTTTTTGTAATTATTCTAATTGTCTTGCATTCTGTTATTGTTCCTTTTAATGTTTAATTATTTTTAAGTTAAGACAAAATAATACAAACGCTTCATGGCAATGGCTTACGCGGCTGTGCACATGCCGCGTCTTTAAACACCTGGAAAACACGAGGTCGGGCACTGGGCGCTACTCTTGTGCCTACTCTGTGCCAACTTTCAAGGGCACAGAGGCAGGTTGCATCTGAGGTCAGCAACCATTACTAGCGCCGGATCAAAACGTACATACCTAGAAATCTTAAGGGTAGAGCTGATTTTCTTCCAGGCCCTGTTTTGTAATGGTAAATGGACCTGCACTTGTCTGCACTCTAGTCATCCGACCACTCAAAGCGCTTTTTATACTACGAGTCACATTCACTCATTCACACACACTTTCATGTTCAAGGCTACCATACAACGTGCCACCTGCTACCCAGTTTTTAACACACACACACACCGATGGAAGCATCATCGGGAGCAATTTGGGGTTCAGTATCTTGCTCAAGGATACTTGACATGCAGACTGGAGGAACCGGGGATCAAACTGCTGATCTTCCGATTGGTGGATGACCCGCTCTACCTCTGAGCCAAAGCCGCCCATTGTAAGTGTGTGTTAGGCCAGAAATATTGTCCGTGGGACAGATGTAAAGCTCTGAGTAGCCCTGCAGTAAAATGATTAACTTCTCCTCCATATTTACCACAGACTAATATTTACAGAAGAAAAGAAAGATATCTGCTGGTCTTGTTATTGTTATTGGTTATTTGTTGTCACATGACATATGGTGCATGTTACTGCGTTCCAAAAGTTGAACTCCGTTTATCAGGGTGCGTTGCTCTGCTATTTTAATGCACTTGCCATGCATCTACATTGAAAACAATGATTTTGAGGGCGCAAAAAACATGGCATGTATATGGCCCTAACTCTAAAATAACCCTGTAATTGCAAACAGTCCAACAAAGGCTGGTTGTTTTATGTTGTTCTCCAAATAGCAACATTTTTGTAAATGTAAAAGAGGAATGAAAATCAGTATTTTATATATGAGTTTTCAAAACAACATTGACAATTTTAATGGACATTGTAGGTGTCATCATCTTCGTTCTCCATGTTCTGACAGGTTTCTTAGCATATGCTATATGGCTTTGGAGTGCCATGGATTTTTTCCTTTTAGATTGTTTGGAAAAATAAGCTAAAGTGAACATGTTTAAAACCTGATCTGATTGATTATGTCTGTGAGGCCTGGTGCCCTTTGGTGTAGAGCTACATCTAGCAGAGTCCCTACGACTTCATACAGCATCACAGTAGTTAAGCTAGTAGATAAAATCTTATCATGACTGATGAGAAAAATAAGCTAAAAAAAAAGAAAGAAACTAATTTATGTATAATTTTTCTTTTGATTTCCTACAAACTCTTAATACTTACTGATCATATAAACGACATGATCATCACTCTTTCTGCTCCAGCTGCCAGGAAACATCCACCCGATCCCCCAGTCGACGCAGTGGTGCAGAACAAGACTGACTCATCCATCACTATCCGGTGGTCTCCTCCTGACAGCGACCGCCCTGTCCCCATCAAGGGCTACATTGTGGAGAGGAGGAAGGTTGGCACTCAGACATGGCAGAGGTGCAACCCTGGGGAAACCATTGTCTCAACAGAGATCATCATCTGCAACTTCACAGAAGAAGCCACCTACCAGTTCCGTATCTCTGCTATGAATGACTTTGGCCAGAGTCCTTACCTGGAGGTGCCTGGAACCTTCTACCTAGGTGAGACTGATGTCTCTGTGGCTATGTGTTGTTGTTATATGCACTCAAGTGTTTTTTCTGATGCCTGGTTTGCCTGTTGTCTCCAGAACCCAGTGCTGAAATCAGGAGAGGCCTGACAAACTCTGCTGCAGTCTCTGGTGAGGAGTTCTCGATCTCTGTGGAGCTGTCTGCTGTTTGCTCCGGCTTCTGGTCTCTAAACGGCCGCCTCCTGCGCAGTGGAGCCGACTACCTCATCACCAGGTCCAAGAACACACACACTCTGCTCATCCGTGTCGTCACCATGGAAATGAACGGAAATGAGATCAAGTTTGTGGGTGGAGGCTCGCAAAGCAGTTGCATCCTGTCTGTGAAGGGTATGAAAACACAGCCAGATAATTATCAACACAGAAAAATGCTCTAAATCATATAAGTGAACTGTAGTACATTTGTTGTTCTGTATTAAAACATTCTGAGCCTTGTTTTGAATTGAAGACCATTGGTGTTTACTTTTTTTGCGAGAAGCAAATCTATAATGCCCTTTTTTTACATGACAACTGTATTTTTTAGTTCCTCCTGTTAGGTTCACCAACAAGTCAGACGTATCGGAGGTGGTGACCTGCAGTGCCCAAGCCACTGCTCAGTTGACTGCTGAGGTGTCAGATTACGATGCACAGGTGTGTGATGGGAACATACGGCTTTACATTTAGTTTGCACAGATTGTTTTAACGTACCTTTGAATTTACAAGAATGTAGAGATAGAAAACAAATCACTATCATTTCTATAGTTGATTTTATCTGTGCTATTTTGAGTCTACTCTAAAATCTGCTTGTTGATGAAGCTTTGTACACAAATATGTTTGAAAATACCGGAAGGATATTCCATTCTAGATAGTTATAAAATATATTCAGTCAGTAGGCCATGTTTTCTGTTTAATGTTACTGTTACCCAGAAAAGTGCTTGTCAACACAAGTACTCCAACTTGTTAATATTAAAGTAACAGTAGATCTGCTTGAATAGAATACTCTTTGCTTTTATTTAATCATGTCTGTTTTTGCTATCTGTGCTGTGTTTGCTTTTTCAGGTGGTTTGGATGAGGAATGGACGGGAGTTGAAAACTGGAAAGAAGTATGAATATATGTTCACTGACCGCAAGAGGATCCTTATGATACACAACGTCACAGAGGAAGACGTGGGCATCTACGAGTGTGTTTTAGCTGATGACAGAATGTCCATCCAACTCAGTCTTAAAGGTAAGCTGACTGAAAAAGCACTGTACATTTTCTCTTATCACAGAGCAAAGTCATGAGTCTCTCTGCCGTAGATTGTGTGCTGGCCTGTGAAACAAGTGTCACTGATATGCTGTGCTCGGTCCAAAGATGATTGCGCAAAGGGAACTGGACTCAGCATGCATGTAGTTTGTCTCAGACCATGTGATATACTGAAATTTGACCTGCTTTGATGGCTACTAGCATATGCTTTTGAGCCATCAAATAGAGGAAAGAGCCATCTGTCAACATGTAATCAACTCCAGTGTTACTCTGTTACTCCAAGTTATGCTGTTTCCACACATGAGCAGCTCTGATAACAAACATAACGACATGCATTTCAAAAGAGATTTAAATTAATGTCATAAAGATTTTACATGTGCTTCACTCTGATTCACTAACACACACTTTATTTGCGTGAAATCAAAAAATGTTAATTGCTCAATTTCCATCTCTTTTTCTCTAAGATGAACCGGCCAAGTTTTTGAACAAAACCAGAGGTCCCATGGGATTGGCATCGTCCCTTAAAGGAGATCTTGAGCTGAGCTGCGAGGTATCTCCCGCCAGTGCGGTCGTTGTGTGGAAAAAAGATCAAGTGAAGATCATTGAGGACCAAAGAACTACCTTCATCTCCAAAGGGACTCAAAGGAAACTCATCATCAGGAATGCCAAGAAAAGTGACGAAGGACATTATTCATGTGAGACAGAAACAGACAAAGTCACATTCCAGGTCAAGATTAAAGGTAATCTATATGAAGCCTTTGTAGTGCTGTTTAACAATTGACTGCACATCACAGATATGAATTTCTTTATCTTATTTTTTTCTCAGAAACTCAAGCTGTAGCTGTGTTCTCCAACAAGGAGTCAGTCCAGAAGGAGGTGAAAGCTACTCTCTCCCAGAAAGCCACTCTTAGTTGCAATGTTTCAGACAGCAAGACAGAGGTGAAATGGTATAAAGACGGCAAGGTGTTGATATCCAGCAGGACGATATACTCAGAAGTAAAAGGCAACACTCGTCAGCTGGTGATTGAAAAGGTGGAGAAGGGCGATGCTGGAGAGTATACATGTGAAGCCGGAGGGGAGAAGCTGGCCTTCAGGTTATTTGTGTCAGGTAGGACTGCTCAGTTGATTAATTCATACATAAAATTTAATAAATATTATGTCTTTGTGCTGCTGTATTATTATGATTTGGTACACATTTAATTATCTTTGTACACAACATTAATAAGATGTAGCACTAATTTAGTGATTTATATGTCTCAAACAAGGCTTGATGAGGTTTGCTTGGGAGACTAAATAATTAAAGATGCCCTGAAGCATGCATCAGTTAAATGCCTCTTATATATTTCATCCATTGGTGATCCTAAACATGGCTCATAATGACACTGTTTCTTGTTAACATTACCTTCAGATTTTCAGTCAGCATTCTTCAACAAGGAGTCAGTCCAGAAGGAGGTGAAAGCCACTCTGTCTCAGAAAGCCTCCCTGAGCTGTGACGTAGCTGATACCAAGACAGAGGTGAAATGGTACAAGGATGGCAAGCTGCTGACTCCCAGCAAGACAATACACACAGAGTCGAAGGGTAAAAGTCGCCTGCTGGTGATCGAAAGTTTGGAGAGGAAGGATGCTGGAGAATACACGTGTGAAGCCGGGACTGAGAAGCTGGTCTTTAAAATGCAGGTGGAAGGTAAGAAGAATGCAGTATGTTTAATACCAAATGGCTTTTCTTTGTTTTTTTTTGAGCACATAGCAAGTGAAGCATAAAGCCTAGATGCATATTAGGTAAAATCATGTTAATCAGTGTTAATTGCATTTTAATAAACATTAAATTATATATAGATAAAAATACCAAATAGAAAACCAAAATATTTACATGTATGTGTAAAATGTGTCACTCATTCTGATTTTAGAAACAGCAGTTTGATTAATAAACACTTAACATTTCAAAATTTGACTAAGGATAGACGATACATCGGCCGGCCGATATATCGGGCCGATATTTGAGTTTTTTACTT